CTACACTCCAAAGATCCAGATAGAGATCAGGAGGGCAATAATCTGTGTGTCCTGCCCTCTACCATAACCAAGGACAGAGGTTTCTCCAGCTTGCCAGACTCTGAAGCAGGCCAGGTGCCTCTTCTCGCTTTTGGGGAAAGACACATCATCAAGCCTCCACACTGAGCTATAAGCCAAGAGAAGACCTAAAAGGTCCATTAGAGAACAGATGAGGAAGGTCCTGGAGGTAAAAAAAAAGAGGTGACAACCCATGACTCACTCCAGGCACGATTTTCTGAGGACACTTGCCTGGAAGTGCCACGTCTACTGTGTATTCGTGCAGTGTGGTGGAGAGAGGCAGAGAGGTCTCCCAAGATATCTCTGAGACAAGCTTGGCCAGACACAACACAGCAGTACAACACAGTCAGTCAGACCTGCCTCTCCTCTGGGCTCCCAACTCCCAGCACAGCACTGTAGCTAGACCACTTCCAGCACCTAACCTCGTATTTCTGCACCACCCCACAGCAGCTTGTACCACACTAGCACAGGGATCTCCTACACAGGAGTGCCATGGCTTTCTCCTTCCCCCTCATGCTATCCCGATTTGTTAAAGTACCCACTGTGCAAGCAAGACAGATGAAGATCAGAGCAAACTCAGGGGTATGCTCAAGTACAACACCCAGAGCTACCAAAATACTGCTGCACGCCCAGATGAACCGACCTTGCCCTCCTTACTGACTATCACAAGGTCACTGTGCTTGGAGTTTTTGACTAGTGTGCCCAAAAACCTGGAACTGTGCCTGTCATTTATAGCACTTTTTCTCAGATGGCTCTCACATGTCTTTATAAACTTTAGTAAATGAGTGTATAAATCACTCTGTCCACCACCAAAGTACTGCCATCTCTGGGATGATACACAACAGCTGCTGTAAAATCAGACCGCAGCTCTACACCACAGATTAGGCAATAAAACATGCTGCATGAGGCAACTGAAATGGTTGGAGGAAGGAAGGGGGACATGGTGGGGTGCATTTTGTAGTTCTAATTACCTGAGCATAAATTTGGCTGAAGAGGGTAGGTACTGTGATTAACACTTGCATATCTGCAAATCAAAGCAGTCTTCCACCATCTGTCAAAACAACCTGACTGTACCGTTCTCCACATCTTGGCCTTCCAAAGCCCTTCCTTTCTGAAAATTGCAAAGCACCTTGATAAAGGCAAAGCTGATGTGCTGAGCACAAGCAATAACCTAATCAAATTTCTTAGCAACTGACTTGATAACTAACTGTGAGCCTGTAGCTGCTGTGCCCCCTCCCTTCGTCTCCCTTGTACGACAACTGAACATAGCATCTATATATTCCCAGTTTTAAAATAGCTTCTGCTCCCGTAACTTGCAAACCATTTGCATAGATCTTATTTTCTAGGCTGAAAGTAGTTAATTACAGTCACTAAGGGGACTGAACTGCTGCACCCTTTTACTTATTCTGGGATGGGCTCCTTGAGCAGTGCATTGCCCTTCCCACCTCAAATCATGAACTGTTTATAATAGGAAATCTATTGAAGGATGGGACTACACAGATTATATCTATGAATTTCCTGGTATCAAGGACAGAAGATGAATAGTTATCCTTCTCTCCCTCTTCTCCTTGGCCATACATCTGTATAGGCACCATCTAAAGCTAAACCTGAAAACTGGTGAAGTATGCGGAAGTGATTTGAAAGGTACTTCCAACCAATATATCACATGGGACAGCATGTTTGGGGTGAGGCCACCGGTTTGGGTTGAGGCACCACACAGACTGTGTACAGTAAAGACCTGCAAAAATCATTCATTTAAATTGAGTGCCATCTCTCTACACCAAATTTTAACTTCTCTGCCACGAATGTTGCTAGCTCCACAACTTCTCCTAGATACTGAAAAAGCTGAAATTACTAGTAAAATATTCCTGTTAGAGAACCAAGAGAGTCAAGCATTACACATTTGAATTGTATTATTATTAAAATACTACTAATAGTGAGTGACAGCTCAGACAGACCATATACTACATGGGGTCCATTTAGTTCTCTAGCTTGGATCAGGAGCACATTCACATGCAAGTCTCCTGCGCTGGTTCACGCTGCAGTTTCCAAGTGCGCAGCAAGGGCTCCTTTAACTGGAACTAAACCAGAAGATTGGCCCAGATGCTAAGGGGAATTTGGTACACAAGGCCAGACTTGAACTAACCCCAAAGTCCTACAGTGCGCACTCAGCTCACTACCAGCTGTGCTAGATGATGAATCTGTGTCTACAGGTGCACACTACTTGTTAACATAGACATGGCCATATACATGGTGTTCCTATGTGAAATGTCTGTAGTAACTGGCCAGATAACGACTACTTGCAGTCAGCTTTCTATGCACTTACTTGGGAAAGTTTACTAATTCATATCCCCATCTACAGACAGATATGAACAACATTGCCTACCTATCATACTGGATACCTCTGCCAGCAATTTCACTTTTGTTTCTCAGGCTGTCAGTTTTCAGGTACTGCCAAAGAGATCAGCCATATTTTCCTTGGGGCTGCATAACAGGGCTTTCTGTGAGCAACTCTGTCACCAGTGTTAACCAGTAAACTGTACATTCTCCAGGCCAAGTTCACCTTCACATCTTTGCAGGCCTTCAGGAAGTGTCAGTTGAACTAACCAGACACAAGGGCATAATTAGGTCTGCCGTATTTGAATGAAACAAGTAAATACGCCCCAGCTGGAGTGATGTGGAGCTAATAACCTAAGAATATAACCCAAGCCCTACAGGTTAGAACATAACACATCAACGGTTTCATTGTATTGAGTTAACTCACACCAGAGGTATGAAGCATGCACTGAGAAAAAGCTCTGTGGATCAGATTGCAGTCCTCACCTCCACTGCTGTCATCCATCTGCACCCTCAGAGTAAAAGCAATCTTAGTCAGAGACCCACCACACTCAGAACCTTGTCAAGCAAGACAAAAGAAGACATTTTCTGTGTACACAAATCCTGGCACAACCAAAAGGAGGGAAATGGTAGCTTTTGAATGGGCACACTTCTGCACAGTCGAGAATTTTCTATTACCAGCAAAGCAGAAAATTATACAACTCTTTTCTTGTTCTCTAAGTACAACAGAGCATGGAATGCATAAAAAGTATGAAACTCCCAAAATTGTATAGTTAATAATTTCAGCATGCAAATCCAGCAGCTAAAATCCTGCAAGACAGCTATGCCTGGTGTCATTTTATTCCTGTCAGTCTTGTGATCCATTATAAAAGCATTCACGAAAAGAAAAAGACCCTCAGTCTGAATTCTCATAACTAACAACTTGTGCAGGGAGTGTAGGGTGGAAGAATGGCTGCTGCATGGTCTGCTAGATGTACAAAATATTGTCAACGGTTATCCAAGAAACATAAACGCCCTTGATAAATACAGATGGCAAAGGAGAAGTAATTTGAACAAAGTATAAGAGAACTAGATATCGTGATTTTTTTTTTTGAAGCATAGACATATATTCTGCTGCTGAAGAAAAAAAACCCACAGAAGTATGAACATTTAAAGCAAAACTTTGCAGCTTATGTTTTTTAACAATACTGCTTATGTCCTTACAAAGATCAGTAAATAAAATTGACCACAGAAACAATAAAAGTATCTGGACAAGAGGTAAAAACCCAGAAATGTGTAATTTTAGAGTGTGGAGACAGCTGGTTTACTTCAATAAGGTAAAATACTGTGTAAAGGTTAAGGTTTCACTATGACACAAAGTTTTTGGGCCATCTCTTCAGTTGCTCTAGGGTTACATTATTTAACAGTTTCCAAAAAAAAAACCCTAAACAATATAGATTAACTTTGAATTTTTGGCTGAAAATCTTAATAAAATGTTACTATATGCATAGAGAGCTGAGACAAATAGGGGTCATGAAGATGCCTCAGTGGCATGATGACATTCACATTGCCTTGCTCCCTGCATGGAACTCCGCACCAGCACATCGTACTCACGTGTTTTGCTGAGAACTCATCAACCTCCTGAAGCACCTTCTCCTGGCACTCCGGGTTGGTGGCTAGCAAGTACGTGGCAAAGGACAGTGTGCTAGTGGTGGTCTCGTACCCAGCGATCAGGAACAGGAAAGCTTGACCTGCTATCTCATCCTCTGTTAACATCTTCTGAACCTTTTCAGATGGGGCCCTGCCAGCAAGAGGCACCTGGTTCTGTCTGGAAGCAGCAGATGGACTGATCACATCAAAACACCCGTCTGCCAGGGAGTCAGCTGAGTCACGGGAGTCGAGCATCCACTGGAGAAAATCTCTGCGCCTCTGCAGAATACAGGATGAGAAGAAGCATGAAGAATGGGTCACAGAGCAATGCCTTTACCCAATGGTAGACAGAAGGAGAGAACTATTTCCTATTTATACTACCGACTTGGCTCCCACAGATGGCCACCAGCCTTTCACCGAATGAGGCGATTTCCATAAATCAGCTGGAAATGCCAGCACTAAGAACAGGTCACTGCTTTCTTCCCAGTGGGATGAGGCTGACCTGCCCCCAATACATAACAGGTACATATTTTCACAGAGGATTGCTAATGGCCAGCTCCACACAGAGCTTTCATCCTCAGAGTGATGTCTTGGCACTTGCTGGAAATAGAGGGACTGACATAGTCAATGCATGGACATATGTGCACCTGCCAAGTGGAGGTGGCATAACTCACGCTTGGAGGAGTTGGCCCATCTGCTTGGAGACACAGTCCTCATTTGTTCACATGGGCCAAAGCATGAAAGTCACCATCTAGGTTTAGGGTTGCATCTACAATAATTTCTGTGCCAGCTTAACAAGTCAGGACCAGAAACTGATCTCAGTAAAATGGTGCATCTTTTATGAGAAAGTGCAGTTATGAACACTTGTATCAACATAGCATTTAAAAAAAAAAATCAAAAAATTAAACATATTTGGAGAAACTTATTACAACAGTAAACATTCCTGTACCATAAAACCTGTTTGGGTGGCTTGTCTTTGCAAAGTGCTCACTGAATGATTCTACTGTTATGAAAACTGCTTTCTTTCATGCTAGTTTCTGACAGAAAAACTCTAATAAACAGACCTATGGACAAGAGTGAGTTGACTCCAAACCAGTCTGGACAGCAAGCTTGATTAGGCTTTGAAATATAACCCAAAAGGTTTGAATTGACTTTTGGGAGTGGGCATAATAGAATTGTGCTGAACCTAAGCCATAAGGCTATGTGATTGATTTTCAGTTCCTCAAATACCAACAGAATACATGATAGCTCAAGGACTTAGAAGTGACTGCAGTGCCAGAACATGACAACTTGTGCAGTGGGATGGAGAAAAGAAGGGAACAAGTCTTTCTTCAAAAGAAAAAAAAATCTGTAAAGCTGCATTTGTCTGTTAAAAAGAAATCATTTAAGTGATTTCTTGAATCTGATGATTGGGAGATAAAGTAGGAAAAGAAAAAGCCAGAGACAAGGACAGGCAAACAAGATAAGAGTAAGGAAGGACTAATTAATTATAAATGTCAAAAGACTTAATCAGATTACTTTTTTTTTTCACACGACATGGGAAAAGAGAGCAGTGAGACAACAAAAGAGGAGAAATACTTAAGTATTCTGTGCTTAGCTCTGCTGCCAACAAACTGTTCTGATCACTCTACAGGCAGAGAGGAATGGTTATTTTGGGGTTTGAGTAACACAAGGGATTGGCACACTGCCTCTTAACAACTCCTTCCCTTCACCCCACAGAACCTTTTCATTTTGCACGTGTACATTATGCACCTTGTACCCATGCCCACAGTGCATCTTGCACCTTGGTACACCCAAGAATCAATGCTCCAGATAGTAGCCAGTGCTGGTCACTGCATGCTGACAGACCCTACAAATTGGTCAGTCAAACTGCATCTCACCTCCAAGGCATGGGATACATGCTTTTCCCCCAGGAAGTGAAGGCACACAAAGCCACATTATACATATTGTGAACAGTGAATGAGGTCCAGCTCTGAAAATACTTCCTTGTGCCTAGACTTAGGCACAATTTCCATATTCAAATTGGCCATGCTTTCTTGGTCTACTAATTTCTAATACAGCAACCCAAAAGTTGCCAGCTGCCCTGCCACAGTCGTTCTCCTCAGGTGTGATAGGCTACCTCTGCTCTTTCATGTTCCTCTAGACTGGAGGAAACAAGACTTCATGCATACTTCAGCTGTGCAGAGCTAAAAATCTCATTTAACTTTTCTAGGAAGGGTTTTAGTTGCATTCTGGGAGTCCATGTATTGCCCAACTCTGAGTCCAACTCTTTGGCATAGCCTACACTGGAGGGATTTTCCCAGTACATAGATTTGAGTTTAGCCATTTTTTAAATAACCCAAACCAGTCCAGTTCCAGTGTGTTCATTAGTGTGTGGATAAACTAGTCCAGTATAGTAATGAACTGCATCTGTAGAGATATTCCCTTTTATCCATAACACTAGTCATCATCACCTAAACTACCTTTATAACATAAAAATGTATAATTACAGTCATATTGAGTGGAGTTGTTACACTGTTACATACTATAGTTCAAGTGGTATAACATTTGGCATGGTTCTGCATGCATCCTTCTCTAGCTGTGAATTTTCTTGTAAACAAACCCTTTGCTCTCTGAGGGTTTGCAGTTCCCAGTCAGGAGCTGTTAGCTGAGTCTGGTCTTATAGTTAAGACAATACACTCTCTGGAGACCTGATAAGATGTTTCTCCAGCCTTAGACAAAATCAGGTCCTGGCCTTATACAAAGCATCTGGTTATTGCTATGATAGTAAAGTAATAATCATAATGACTAGTGAATAAAATTTCATTCATGAGAATTTTTGCTGAAAGCAAACTTAATGAATGCTAGCACAAGTGAATACTCCCAAGAATGTGCTCTGAAATGCCTCTGTGGCCATTTTGAGGAGCTCTTTTTATTACTCACATAATATATTTGGTTAGGAATTTAAAAGCTTGTCTTGTTGCAGAATCTGTTTATAAGGTCACCCTACGGAGAAGCAACTAGATACCTTCTCTGTGCCATGTAATTTGTTCACAGGTGAGCAGGGGTTGCTAAGAGCAATGGCTTCGTAAACTGTCCTTACAAAAACAACATTCATTTGTAAAAACTACTTGAATAATGGGGGTGGAGGTGGGGGTGGGGGGACACAACCATGAAATTAGAAAGAAGAAAGCTTTTTTCAAGATAATTCTACACAGTGGAAGGAGATATATTTTAGCAAAGCTTCTCTTCCTTATGGTTCATTCTACTTCTCTTTAGGCATCAGTATAGAATGCAACATAAAAAATCATCATCAACCCAAGCGAGAGAAAAGATTTCCAGGGTTATAACCAGTCATAATGAAACATATTTTTCTTCCGCATCATCAGGATGGAAAAATCACTCTGACTCAAAAACCTAACAACGGCAATAGAGGCAAGCGCTAGCATAAAACCAAATATAATTGGATTGTTAAGTGCTGGAAATGAGGAAAAGGTATCTCATGAAAATTCACAGGGGTTTTCTCCACTTCAGTTGACAGCAGTAAAAAAAAAAAAGAAAAAAAGAAAAAAAGGGGCAGATTTTTCAGTTTGACAACAGACCAGGTACTGACAGTGTCACTGCACAAAAAACAGTCTCTGGTCATCACATACAGCTGCTGGCTTCCTTTTTCCATCAGGGATGTTTGTTTGATTTTCTTCACAAAAAGCAGAAGCCCATAATAGCCTCTATCCTGTCCTCTGACACTTGCATAGTTAGTTACAATGGTCTCAGAAAGAAGTTCCTGCTTCAAAAGAACGGCGTGCCAATGTGATGGACTCTTGTTTTGCCCCCGTACAACACAGAGCCTATCATTAAGCCAATGAAAATTGAACGGAGAGCTACTATTTGAAAAAATCTAATTTGAATGCAGCATGGGACAGGGTGCACGTCTAACTTGGTGGTGACACAGACATCCCCTTTGAAAGATATAATAAGACAAGCCCCGCTTTCAGCTTCCCCAAGATAGACACCTTGCAATATATTCCCTGACACCAGTGTTCTGGGCCGTATCATTTCTCTCATTAGTCTCCTTAAACATCACCTGGCCATGCAGAGAAATCGTTCTGCACAGAACCGTAACAAGCTCTGTGCTACATACTGGAAGAATAGATGTGTGCTATACTGTGGAAGGCCAATCCGGTAGTATCTATCACCCATCCTCAAATCACTGCTTTTAAGTTTTGCAACTGTCAGAAGAAGAGAGATATATCGCTCACACGCGTGATGTATCCTGACTTTCCTCACAGGAGGCAAGGGTCCTGGGGGGGCAGAGGATGTCTCCATCTCTTTCCTTCCTAAACAGGGAACTGTGTTTTCATATCTAAGATTGACATACTGGCTGACCTTTTGAGAAATTCACCACTGCTTTGGGGATCCATGGAACCCTTGGGTTATGCTTTGGGTAGAGAGATTGAGCCATTCAACTTCTCTGCAAGGTGAAGCCAAAATTACTTAAGGAAAGCTACCAAATGTATATCAGTCAGAATTTTTTATTCTTAATGCTGTGATTTCAGTTGCATCTTCTGCAAACTATACTCAAATTTTGCACCACTTTGACAGTTCAGTTCCCCATTTTAAGTCAAAAGAGCCCAGAACTACAAAAAGCAACTTAAAGATGAATCAAGGAATCAAACTAGACGTCATAATTGGTTGGTATTCTGTAAAGCACTTACTGTCATGCAAAAGTCATACAAATGTGATGCTGCTAGTATAATACCATTCACAATAAACTGTGCAGACCCTCCTAGCCTTTCTTAAATGCTCTGATGGCAGCTCAAAAAAGCAGAAGCTAGGCTTCAGAATCCTTATCTAACAAGTAGGAATCTCACATCTCATTTCAGTTTCCTACAAACTTGTACAAACACTGCTGTATTAATTTATACCCAGGTCACTTTTTGTAAGTTTGATTTAGCAACCTTTTTTTTAGGCGAGACAAACCTGTGTCACCCTGAAGTTATCAGCAAAGCACTGCAGTAGCTACCCAGATCCTTTTGAAAAAGAAGCACAAAATGCAGTCCCACTAAAGTTATCATTTTGCCAAACTGCTTTGAAAGGATCAAATTTAACCTGTCCCTAACACTTTCAGGTTTCATTTAGTTCCTCAGAGAAGTCACAAAAAAGCCAGTCTCTCTACAAATACATCCAATCTCAAAACTTTTCAGAGAGATCATCCTTTTGCTTTGTGCTTGAGCCCAGAAGCTCGAATTAACTGGGAGACCACAGCTGACAGCCCTCAAATTTGTGCATCTGAAGGTTGA